TATATATATATATATATATATATATATTTAAAAAATTACATATTAGAAATGAAAAATATATTTTTTGCATTTTGAATATACTTGTATCTTACTTGTCCTGTTAAATTTTGATAGATAACAACTATAAAACCCATTTCCTCAAACAATTTCTTTAAATTATTATTGTCATATTTTGCCGAAAATCTGGGTTTTTCATACGATAATTCGTAATAAATATTAGTGATTATCAAAACCAATCCACGAGGTTTACTTCGCATAGGATATCGCTCAATGAGATCATATTCACAATCTAAGAATTTTGTAGCTTTACATACTTCGATTATTAAAGGTTCAGAAAAAAATTCATCAGAATAAATATGATGATCTAATAGATTTTCTTGCCTGAAACTTAAAAATTGCATAAATGAGATTTTAAAAAAGAGAGTGAATTGATTGATGTTCGCCTGAGCTGTAGAAGGTGCTGTATCGAAAAAAACATGAAGAAAAATCTAAGAAATTAACAAAAATCTGTCAAGAAATGAATGAAAAGCTATATAAAAGTTTTAATTTTCATGTGACTTGAACCATTCTTCTCATTTTCTCGATATAAACTGCACTTTATATGCGTTCCAATATAGACCAATCTTCTACCCATTTCACGTGAAATAGATTGCTTTTCATTCATTTCTTGACAAAGATCTTTCTTCATGTTTTTTTTTTTTTTCGATATAGCACCTTCTATGGCTCAGACGTAGGATTTCTAAATATTTCTGAAAATATATTATATACATGAGAAAAAAAAGAAAAAATCATGACACATACTTTGTGTTACTACTTGCATTATTTTGTTTCTCTAATATATCTGCTACATCTTCATGGTTGGACTGTCTTAGACTAAGAATCAAATTTTTGAATGCATTCGGTCCTCGTGTTTTAATTGTCAATAATACATCTTTGACTGTATTTTGTGCCCCGAGATTCTTCTATAATCAGATATTTATCTATATATATTTGATTACATTTTTACTTATGTAATACATAGTATATTACACTTGAATATCATTCCTTTCTTTATCATATCTATTGTCTATTTCTACTAACAAAAATAAAGATGACTCATAAATGACTCATTCCTTATATGTATAGTTATATATCTAAAGCTTTATATTGTAGGCTTTAATTATATTAATAATTTTAATATATATTATAACTATACATTGAGATATTGTCTATGTAGACCTCCAATTAGAAGCTAGAAAATAATGCCTTAATTCAATTCAGGTTATTTTTAAAATATAAAAGAAATAATTCAAAGAATTTTATTTTTTAATTAATAAATTTTATTAAAAAAAAATTAATTAGGAAGATGTATATTTTTCATATAGGATAACTGTCCCTATTAATTCCCTTTTAACCAATTTGCTTATTACTGAATTAATTATTAAATATTGTAGCTTTAATTTTATCTGCTTGCAATCAATCGATTTTTCAATTACTTCTTTTTCTTATAATATTTCTTTAATCTAAAAAATGTTACTTTATAATTTGACAAAAATAGAAAACATGTTTTTGTCCCTATTAGTGAGTCCTCTAAGCA